GCATTTTTACTGGGCTCTCTTGGAAGAATGAGTTGAGATTATAGATGCTAATAAAAGGGTCCCCTTGTGGTTTACTTTTTTTACTAAATCTATATGCATGTAGTAAACTACCAATCTAGTAGCTCATTTCCTTCTTTTGTCTCTGCTTGAGCAAATTGTATATACTGATAAAAAATGTGGACGTGTGCTTTTGAATATCTATATGTGTTCTGGTTATCTGCCAGATATCTGGTTACTGATATTTATGCTCATGTTTACCTTTCTATTCTCCCTTTTTATGAAAGAATTAGCACATGCCACAACATCCTAACTTTGCCTGTTGGGTTTTTTTCCCCTGGTTTTGTTTTGTTTCTTCTTATGCCTTGCATAAATTGTGTCTTGCAATGGTTTAGTTTCCATTGATTTGAATTTCCTTTGTATCATGGTTTTATTTATAATTTCCTTTTCATAAACCTACTGGAATTCACCTGCACTAAGGACTTTTCTTGGCATATCTATATTGAGTAGCTGCATTCACAGTTAGAGACGACTGTTCAATGTCTTTTAAAAAAGTTTAGGTTTTCAGCTGTTATTTTCTTCATGAACTGTGGTTTTTAAAAAGTATGGAAAAATATCCATACTCGCAGATGGTAGCAAGTATCCATATGTGCTTCTATTTGACTGAACCATAACAGGAAGTTTTCATATTCTCCTCCCCCCTCCCACCCCCGCCACTACTTGTTGCATTTAGTGGCTTAATTTCCCTAAGAGAGAAACCTTTTTAAGATGTAAGTATCGTTTTCACTTGTTCAAGCTGCATTGGGTTTTGCCAGCCATCTGTGAAGATAGGGGAATAGACTTGGCGTGTGTTGCAGTCTTAGCTGGAAAATGTAATTTTCCCATCATTTCCAATACAATTTTTCCCCTCATCATCTGCAGAATAAATGCTGTTATTAAAATTTAAGAAGCTAGTGACTCATCAGATTAAGCAACTAAAGAACATTTTCCCCTGGATGGTAAATGGACTTTTTTCGTCTCTTGATTTGCGAAGTGCAGCACTAGTACTATCCTAGAGGGAAGAAAAATAAAATGAATGCCAAAAATGTTAATACAGAAATTTCTAAGGGCTGGAATTTCACAGATACTGAGCAAACAGTTGTTTCGATGTAGTCGGTGATGCTTATCCCTGATGATAAACATGTTACAAATATAGAATGTATGTGTTTGTTCTTTTTTAATTGCATTGTATCTTAGTAAAGATTTTCAAAATCACAATTTGTTCACTTATTCCCACCACCACCACCATTGCGTTTCTAGAGACTTAGTTTTGTTGAACCCTAACAAATAACTCGTGCTTCTGCAGAATGGCAAATTCCAGCAGCATCTCTGGGCATGTAGATCCCCTCTCATTCTGTTTTGTAATCAGATTTGCTTGGAAGTGGCTTTGAATAGCCTATATTGCCTTGCATCAGTTTTACTGATGGTTTTGGGCGAAGTTATAAAGAAATCTAGGCTTTCGCTGTTTTTGTCTCAGTCATGTTATTTTATGAGTTTGAATAAGATACATGTAATTTTTTCCATTGCTTGACAGTATCATCATTTGGAAGCCAAAGTTTAAATTATTTCCTAAAAAAAGCAATTTTTCCATTTTAAGTATAAATACTTTTTTTTTGCAACAAATTTGCTTTGAAATGTCTGTTACTAATAGCACAAATACCATGGTCTCAAAATCTGTTACTTTTTCACCCTTAGGTGCTTGAGTTTTGTTATGTAAATCTGGAATATAATAGTTGATAATATATCCTGGAAGTACATTTGCTTTAAAGCATGCATTCTCTTCCCAAGGAACACTATTCTGTGGAGCTGTCACTTGTTAGCATCATCATAGGTTTCAGGAGAGTAAAAAACTTGATGGTATCTAGCAAATATATATCACATTATAGAAATTGTGCTTGGATTTGAACATTGACCGTAACTGAGGACTCCAACAGTTTGCATGTACAAGAATGTACATGTATAGAAGTAAATTGCATTTATAGTTTCAGCTGCGTTCTATGTTCATGAATGGCTTGGAAGCCTAATTGCACTGGTTGAGTTTAGATACGTTATAAACAGGTCCTATCAAAGGTTGCCTGATGCCTGTCTTGCTTTTCCAGTACATTTCAACTCTGTGTTAAGCCATATGGGTGTTCATAATGCTATACAGCACAACACAGAAATTACATAATTGGTAACTTTTAAGATGCATCATGACACGTTTAGGTAACTGCATAGCACTGTATTTCTACCTGTGTTGCTTCTTTTCCCCTCTTTTTTGCCTGTCCTGGTGTTCATTGCTGTTGGTGCTTGTATCTTGGCTTAGGCTGTAAGTGTCAGCAGATGAAATGCCTTTTGGTTTGCTTCATGTGGGTGTGGGTATGTTTCTGAGAGCTCAAAGTGTAAAGTAATCGTTCCAGTAGTGATTTGGGGTATAGGGAGGGCAGGAGGATCCCTTGAAGCACAACTGCTGGAAGAATTGCAATGCTGATTTCCACGATGTCATTTTCTGTATGTTGAGCAGACAGAATTATTTTTAGCTCTTTAATTTTAGTATGTTCCTACAGGAAATGTTTGGGTGCTTGGATTGTCACTGCTGCTTGAGCATCGGTACGTTGGTGAAGGGTAGAAGGAGGGAATGTCAAATAACAGACATCTGTGTATTATAGTATAAACCACCTTTGTCTTGCTGCTCAGACTGCATGATTATTAGAATTTTATCAGGATAATATTTTAGCTTAAGACTTTTTTTATTTTTTTATTTTTTATTTGATGGATGGAAAGGCCTGGTAGGTTGCTCTGAAAATTCTAATAGACCTTATGGTTTTTATAGTCTCTTAGCAACTTCATCTGTACATGATAGAGCTTTTGCTCACCAGCTGTCCAAGTTAAAATGCAAAACAATAGAATATGGCTCATTTTAATGTAAACAACAATCTCTCTGATAGATTTCACCTTTTTGACCAAGCTAGTGTCTGCTGTGTTACAAGAACAAATATTCTTTAGGATTAAAATGCTTAGTTATTTTCTGAATATTTATTTAGTATTGTTCCTTTTGTGTAAAAAAATAGATGTAACATGCAAACCATGTTTCAGATATGAAACCATGTTATGTGAATCCACAATAAAAGTTAACCATTTCTATTGCCATTTGCAATGTGAGATGAAATAATGTATCTCTTAAAGATCAATATTCTCATTCTGGTTTGGATATTGCAGAACTTTTGCAGAGGAGCAGGAGTTGTTTTGTGTGTGTGTACATGTTCGTGCTAAACATGTGGTTCTTTCAGAGGTAGGGAGTAAAAATTTCTCCCTTCCTCAACCCAGAGGAAATCTGCATCCCTGAAATGTGAGATTTGATTGCCCCTCTTCAGTGTGTAAGATATAAAATATTGTCTCAAAATTAGACAGTGTGTGGTGCTTCAATTTTTGGATCTATTGCTAGAGCATGTATCTTTACATGTAGACTCTATGTACTTGTCGTTTATTTAAATGCATCTAATGCTAGCTATTTACTCCACTCTTCTTCTGCTGCTCAAACTGCAATGCACAGATATAATTATTAATGATTTAAAAATCTTCATAACAGGGGAATCTAGAACTAAATGCAGCAGAACCTTGTTTTCTTCAACTTTCTTGGATCATTTAGTCATTTCTGTGTGAACATTAGATGAAAAAGGAGGGATGAGGACATAGGCTTTTACAATATTAATAGTCCACATACTTAAACTTTTCAATGTATTGCAAAATTTATCCCAAGGATATTCTCCAGTAACATAGTTGTAAAGTGAAATACTATAGTTTGAGGCACATCCATATGCCTGTTTTGATTTACACCCCACTTTGCTGTGCACGTTAGAAATACACAACAGAATGTTCCTGGCCTGAAGATACTGTCATTAAAAAAAGAACATGATGCATATATTTTGATGGTTTAATGTGTATTTTAGCCATCTGCACAAGACTTGACAAAGTTTGTTACGGTGATACTCAGCATCTAGGGATTGTTAAATATATGTAGGAGGTAATTGTACTACCTTCTTTGACCATTTCAGAATGTCTATTTGCTCTTAAAGCTAGCTAATTATTTCCATTGAATACTCTCTTGTATTGTAGGCTGTTAAAAATAATTAAAGGAGTTTTCTTGATACCTATTATGAAAAAGTACTGATAGGTTTGTAATTTACTTTATTTTGGATTTGTATTGTTTAGTTCAAGGAGCGTCTGGACAACGCTCTTAGTAATGTGGGTTAGTTGTAGGTAGTCCTGCGAGGAGGAGGGAGTTGAATTTGATGATCCTTATGGGTTCCTTCCAACTTGAGATATTATATCATTTTATGATTTAGGTTTCTAATTGAGTGTAAATCTGTTGTATTGACTGTAAAATACACTAATCTTCCTGGTTTTCTTCCCTTCCCCTCAAAAAAAAACCAAAACAAAGCAAAAAAGCAAGGGGGAGACAGGTATCAATCGGAAATGAGAATATGAGCATGATACAAAATGAAGAAACTCTCTTATTATCAGATTATGAATGGGAGAGTGAAATGGCAGTGATCTAAAACGCCAGGTCTGGAATAAAATTTCTATAGTCAGTATTTTCCCGTAACTGAGTGTTGATGTAGGTGGTATGAAAAAATATAGTTCCTTCATAAATTTTGTAGATGATCTCAAGGACAGCTCTCTGTTTTCTGGAACAAGGACAGAGTCTAAACAATAGAAATTGCATGCGACAATAATTGTGCGTAACTCTAGGTTATAAAACTCCAGAAAAACAGGAAAACTAAATGATGCTGATAACCTGTTTTCATCCTTAAACTGAGCATGTAGTTAAGTTTGCGTATATTTGCTATCTCTGTAATTGTCCAGGAACCATTTCCAGAAATAAATGCATTTTAGTGATGGAACAGAAACAGTGCTCTGCATAACTTCTCACCATCTTTTCTCAGACACATGCATGCCAAAGTGCTTTGTCTCTTTGTTTTCAGAGTTGCAATAGTTTCCAAGTCTTTTGAAGGAAAAACTGATCGAACAGAAGACTGGTATGGAACACAGTACAAGCAAGAAGCAATTTCTGATGAAGTTATTAAGGCACGTTAAAACTTCAAATATATTCTAATACCTGCAAGTGAAAGACAGTGGTAAATTCTTTGTCTAATTTTCCATTTAGTTGAAGGGAGAACTTAAATCTGCTGCTTCACATAGCGTGAAAACTGTACAATGAATCTGTTAATGTTATGAGAAGTAAGGATCTTATGAAATTCTACTTAGCCTCATTGTTTCTCCTGTTTATCTAGAAATGGCAAAATGCTGACCTGAATGGGAAATTCAAGCTTCCAATGAAGAATGAGTTCATTCCTACTAACTTTGAGATTTTGCCATTGGAAAAAGATGCGACCCAGTACCCTGCCCTCGTCAAGGTAAGCACTCTGTATTTGTTCTGTTTGCTAGCTAACCTTCTGGGAAGTTAGCAGTTAATTCCTATGTGTCTTGAGAATACAGATCATGTGATATTCCAAAGCATAATAAACAAAAAAAATTACAAAACTTAAAGATATTGCTAGAAAGACAGTAGAAAATTCATTCTTACTAAACTTTGGATTATAACTATTTGGGTTCCTATGAAAATAGGAAAAACAGTTTGAACTCTCTTTACCTTTTTGAAAGTGAATTAACAATTGATAGAAGTAGTGTTAGAGCTGTTTATTCAGCAGAAGGTTTATTGCCACTCTTAACATTTTTTTGAGCAGTGTTCAGTAAGTTCAGGGTGTAGACAAGGCTATTCTTTTGTAACTGTGTATGGAAAAAGCTTGTGATTGTATGGAAAAAGGGAGAGAGATGTAAACATGTAAATAAACATCGCTCTCCAGTCTCCTGGAAGCATCATTTAATGATCTCAACAAGTTTAGCAAACCTCAGTCTTTCTGAGTACCTAAAATTTACTAAAAATTACTTCTCACTACTAAAACGTAGTTGTCTGTTCTAATACTCATCTCTGTTAAAGGCTTAGTTGGAGGATAAATAGGACAAGTCTTCTGCAATTACGTGTTGTGCTTCAGCTTGAATAGTCAATTGAGGCATACTTTTTGTACACTAGATTAATGTAAGTCTACTTTAGTGCAAAGGCGTCCTTCAGGAAAACATATTTGTTCTGCACAGGGCATTTTAGATATATACTTGAAGCAGTATTATTAACAGAGGAGGACTTTGTATGTTTATGTTCATCCTGAACTGAAACCCTAAACCTCAGCAGGGACACATGCTACAGCTCTATTAAGTAACACTAATTGGTTTGCTACAGAAACTTGATGGTCCTTCAGTATCTCTGTAGCAACTAGGTAATTGATCCACACAAAAGCTTTGCTTTAAGGCATCATTGCTTTAGAAATGTATTTGCTTTTAGTTTTTCCTTTTCCCTTTAAAATATGTTTTCTGAGTAAAATGGTTTTAATCTTCTGTACTTGATGAAATAGACATTAGCTATTTAGCCTGCATCTCTTTATTTTCTCTCCAGCTGTATGTCTGTGCCATTTTCCTTTTGTGGGCTGTGGCATTTGTCTGGCCCCACAGCAAAACATTGCAAGAACTAAATCAGCAGAGATTAGCTGTACAAAAAAAGCAATTTTTCTGCTGCTTGTCACTAAGTCACCTCTGTTGCAATGGCACATCTTGCCCTGAAAAACCCTCAGGAAAGAGGGCAGTTAAGGATATTGAGGGCCAGATTGTTACTAGTCTTGCAGCTAGCAATCTCCAGCTATTGGATCAGGTCTCCAGTACTACAAACAGGCTCTGCTGTGTTTATCATTCTGTCCCTGATGTAAGATGTATTCTAAACTGCATAATAGCAATTTAACAGAATAAAAATTCTGTTATCTCGGAGAGAAGCTGTAATTTGGCTTTTTTGTATGAGTCGAATATTCTGTAGAGGAAGGTGTGCCATAAGAGACAAGACTTACTACTTTTATGCGAAAAGGAGGAGGAAAATACCATGCCAAATCCCTGAGAAGTAAAGAACATCTGCTCAAAAATATGAGGAAGAGAAGTAATTTTACATTTAAAAGTTCTCTCTTGTGTAGAGCAAATAAAGAAAAGGTGTTGAGGCATAAAAACAAGAGCTGGAACGGAGGGAGAGTATCTATTTCACAGTTCCTGTGGGAGAAAAAAGCAATAGGGGAGGTTATTAAAATTCTTTCCTGTATCAGGAGATTATTCCAAAAAAATCTGGTGACAGATCTTTTAATTAATTTCCAACTAATTTTACTACTTTTTCTAAATGTGTACATTTTTTGTTACCAATGTTACTGTAAACCAACATACAATGCATTAATATATTTTACTAAAAATATTAAATACACAATTACATTCTTAGTCTAAAACATGTAACTATATGGTGCTGTAGTGCTGCATAGTGGCACATCTTTTAATGCCAGTAGTAGCAGGGAATTTTATGAAGCTAATTCCCTATTTTTCTTTGATCACTCGTGCTCTAGAAAAGTAGTTCCCATTTTGAGCATAAGCTCATTCACAATGCTGCAGCCATTTAACTGCTTGTTAAGGTGACATGGTAAGAAGAGAGTCTCAGTAAGTATGGATGGATGTATACACAAACATATATAGGGAGAATATGAATTCAAGGGGACAACACTAAACTGAGATTTGAAGTGGTGAAGAGACTTTTTTTAAAAACAGCATAATATATTACAGTTAAAAGTTAGGTGACTTAACAAAACCTCTTTTCTTGACACAGGACACTGCTATGAGCAAACTATGGTTCAAGCAAGATGACAAGTTTTTTTTGCCAAAAGCTTGTCTCAACTTTGAATTTTTCAGGTATGCAGTGTTAAGTATATCACACAAATTGCTCTCCAAAAGTTTCTTGCTTGTTGGGAATCTGCATTTCTGTGGCAAAAACCTTCTTGCATGTATTGAAGCTTTAAAATGTTTGTCCTTACTTGGGAATATGTAGTGAGATACAGATAGCAGGAAGGCTCAGAGTAGCAAGCAGTTTTGAGGTGCTCCATCTATATTAACAGGAAAAGTTTATCTAAAAATACCTTAAAAATAAATTTTCTTCTATGTTTTATTTGTTATACCTGAAATAGGCCTACCAATAGGACCTACTACATACTGCAATATAGCTCTATAAAAATGTGTGTGTTACTTTTAAATAATGACTAAACGACAACTATTTTAAGATAGTGTTTTCTTTTATAAAATTCTATTCTGTATCAAATGCTATTCTGATAATGAGTTTAGGTTCAAATTCTCATTTAATTTGCATAATGCAAGCCAGTATAAAATTCAAAGTGCTTAAAATTGTGGGATTTTATTTAACTGACATCAACAACTGTTTTTTTTTTAAAAGAACACCATCTATGTTATGAATGTGTGATTCTTCCCTCAGGATGCATGATAAAGTGCTGTAATGTTAATTCTGATCTTTCATTATTTTCATCACAGGAAAATTACCTTTTTGAAGGGAGCATGACAATGATGTACCTTCTTAGTGTTCCTCTCAAGTACTAATTTCTAACTCTTGAATTAAAAAAAATAGTGCTGTCTTTAGATTGCATCTATTTCTGTGCTGGACTATTGGAAGCAAGAATAATTTCAGGAACTCTCCTCCTTTGGCCTATTAAATGATTCAGTGATACTGCTGGAAAGGCTATTATGTGGCTCTGATAGATGCTTATAGATGCACTGTTGAGTCCTTGTTTTGGGTGACCACTTGAAATTTTTCTTGGCAGAATTTTACATAAGAGGGTTTTTTTCAGAGAGTGTCAGATCTTGGTACTTGTGTTGGTATTGGTTGGGAAAAATAGGTTGCCTGGGCATTTCATCTTTTTGCTTTTTGAAACCACAGGGCAAACATTACACCTGTTTTAATTTTGATGTGTCACGAAATGGAAGAGCAAAACGGTAATCTTTTATTCAGCAAATGACAATTGCAATAATTTTCCCTTCTTTGTTCATGCCTGGTGGCTTTCCCTTGTACTGTTTGGCCAAAATCCAAATTAGGATTTTATTGATGGACATGGAATGTGTGTTACACAGTTGTGTTTGTTTTGTTTTGTTTTTTTAAATTGATTCCAAATGAACTATGAGTGATCCAGTCTCTATACCAGTTTCTGAACAATTAAAAGATAATAATTGATTTTATGTAAGCACACAAAGCTATAAGTATGTGCACTTACGCACAAAATCATAGAATCGTAGAATGTTTTGGGTTGGAAGGGATCTTTAAATGTCATCTAGTCCAACCCTCCTGTAATCAGCAGGGACGTCTTCAACTAGATATGTGATGGTGATAGTCTTTCCCAGTTAGATCTGTACTTTCATCTCAGTGAGCCTTTTTACAAAGCCAGGAGTACTTGAGCTTTGATGACTAATGTAATGGAATTATTTGCCTCTTTCCTTCTAGGAATGGTTGCAGGTGGAAAGCTGGCTTTTTTCATAGGGTTGGGGGCGAGAATTCTTTCCTTTTCTTTAAAAATAAGGTGGTAATTGCATATGAATGGATGTGAGGAGATTTTGACAATATTGGATACAGCATCTCCAAAAGAAGTTGTAAACAGGTTTGTCTGGTTTTGACACTTAAGAAAGATTCTTAGTGAATCTCTCTCTCTTTTGAGACTGGTCATGCTGATGGTCATTGGAGGAAATGGTGAAATGTATAGTGTTTATTCATGAGACTTGACAAAATTACCCATAGCTCTTGCGGCAAAGTGAATTGGTGAATAAAGCCATCTTAATGGGTTTTCATAAAAAGTTTTACCCAAAGTTCTAGATCAGAATATGATGCTTATGCTGCCTTTCAGCAGGTTGCAAGAATTTCTTCACACTACAGACTGCTTCATAAGATAGAAATGACTAGGAGGATTTCTTCTGCCTTGCAGCCCTGATCATCACAAAACACTGGGAGAATTCCTGACCCAGATGTTATAGCACCAACTGCTGTGTTAGGTGAATGAAGAGGAGGTTGATGAGGGTGGTTTCTCCCTCAAACATACAAATCCAGTAGGAATAATCTTGAGTATATGAACCTCTTGAAGTCACCTTGTTCCAAAACTGAAAATCCTTACATGGCACAAGCCTTGTGTTAAAGAAACACCACAGTAAAAACCTCTGGCATGGAACTTACCATCCAGCCTAAAGGATGATGATAAGCTTTTGCTTTTGTATGAGTTAGGACTTAAGAGCTCAACAAGTATCCTTTTTTTAAAAGGAAGCAAAATAACAATATAATGTGCTGTTGTTCTGAAAACTTTCTAAAGGTAGTTACAGACTCTGCACTTCAAGTTTCCCAAGCTTTAGGGAAATGGATGTTAAAAATGTAATGCTAATTATTTTTAACTGGATACTTGCTACCTTCCAGTTTAAGAAATATTTCCAGCAACTTGAGTTGCTCATAAGGTAACCCAGGACCAACGCTTCAGTGTTGATTCCAGCAATGTCACTTTCAGCTCTGTTTGAAAGGGGAAAAGACTAGACTTTTAAGATTTTTCAAATACACTAGGAGTGACTGAGTTGTTCTGCTTCATCAAATCTAGTCAAAAAACAGGTAAACTAGAAATAAGCATTTATTTACAAAGTTGTCAGTAATAGAATGCAACTCCCAAACATTGTTATAATAATTGTTTTCTGTTATTTTTCACTTGAGGATTAATGAATTAGTAGTCTTCATTATTTTCAAAACTCCCTGTTGGCCTTTGCTGGCTAAATGAGTATACAGAAGTTGTAACTGATACAGACATAGTAATCACTCAAACTGATTAAGTCTCTAGTATCAAAATGGAAGAAAATATAATGAGCTTGGAGGAAGGTTTATGATAACATAGGACTGACCTACATCTTGCTTTGAATCCAGTCTTAATTAAAAATTTCAATATTAATTGGATTTGCCTCATTGGGCGTATTGAAATTGCTCAGTTTGGGGAAAGTCTCATTGTAGGGAGAAATGCAAATAGCAGAGTCCTCATTATTTTTTTTTTTTTTTTTAATCCTTTTTAACTGTCCTGTTTGCTTAAGTTACACAAGCCCATGCCCAGAATAATTAACCCGGTGATAGTAAAAAAGCATATCTTAGGCTAAAATTTCAGATTATAGTAGGCTCTGCTTCTCTAGTAGGTTGGGTTGGTATTTTTTTAGTATTTTATTTTTTTTAAATCTCTCCCCATCCTTCCTTTCCTTAATGTAAAAGGAAGGAGAAATCAAGGCCTTACTAAAAACTGCTACCTTCTTAAAACATACTGCAAAGGTATTTTTAAAGTTATCAGTGTGTGAGTTGTGGCGGTGATCTTTGTGTACTACATTAATGTTGGTATACACTATGAAGTACCATGGTATATAGGTGTAAACATATATAATAGCGTATCTCTAAATATGACTGTTAGTGACTGCTTAGGGAAAATAAATGCAAATGGCGTGAGTTTGAATTGTAAAACATATCCTGACAGCAAGTTGTTTTACATACTGCTGATTATTTATGTGAAATTGGTAATAATTTACATGCACTTCGAAAGCTTTAGAAATAAATGATCATAGTACAAATAACTTGTTTTGACTTTGCAAAATCTTTAAAACACACAGATATTTAACAATTAGTGCAGTTGAAACATGGCTTGAGTCTTTGAGTTGCATTTCTCTTTTTGAGAAATTTGCGACAGTATTGCATGTGATCAGATGCTTCTAATACAACAGTAGAGCGTGTGTAGTTGTCGCCGTTAAAAAGATAACAAAAAGTTACAGTGGTATGAAAATGGATATGCCAGACTTCTTTCCTAAGCTGAATTTAGCATGTACTGCATATTTTTCATACCACAATCGCTAATCTCTTAATTTTTGTAATAGAAACTACTTAATTTTCTGATAGTGTAGAAGTATTAATTAAGTTATGTTCAGTACATGGGCTTTCATTTCGATCTATTAAATTATGTTGGTTATTCAGGCTGTATATACTTTATTTTACTCCTGGTGAATTCTGACTGTGCAGCAAAGTAAATATAACATGTCTTGATTTAGGACCACAAATAAGAGAATATTTCTGGAATCTTCAATATATTTAGGCATTGCTCAAACTATAAGCAAGCTAAACAATTATTTTCAGGTATGTTCATATTTGGCTTCTAAATAGGAATCCTTCGTAATGGAATCCATCAGCATACTCACAGTAAATATTGTTTCCTTCAGATCAAAATTAAAAGGCCGAAAGAGACTGAGAAATAATTTTAAACTGCATATTTTACTTTCAACATTTTCTTCCAGCCCATTTGCTTACGTGGATCCCTTGCATTGTAACATGGCCTATTTGTACCTTGAACTACTCAAAGACTCCCTCAACGAGTATGCATATGCAGCAGAACTAGCTGGCTTGAACTATGATCTCCAAAATACCATCTATGGGATGTATGTAAGTACCCAAATCAAGGAAGAGCTTAGAGCCTTAAAACTACTTCCACTCATCAACATTTTTATATTGATTTGATGGAAGGACTTTTATTTTAAAAATGGGTCTAAGGCTGTTACTCCTTTTGATCTTGGTTATTAACCATCCTTTCTTTAATTTGAATTTTAAGTTGAATTTTGTTCAAAGTCTTCAACAACCTTTCCATTCATACTAAGCAAATTTTCTTCTTTATTTTTATATCATTCGTGAAATTAATTAGTTGTAAGATTTGTTCCTCCATTTAAAAAGAGAAAAAAAGCAACCCTAATCCAAGCTTACATATTTATTTCAGTTTGTCAGATATATACTAAAAACTTTCTGACTGATGGGGTAAAAAGCCCTCTTTTCATGCTATTAAATAAGTGGTACGCTTCAGCTTTCCTGTTCAAGAATACTGATCATGAGGCTGCATATACATACTCTTCAGTCATGTTTCTTCATCCATTACTTTGTCACTGCTTGAGGTATCAAAGCATTTCTTTTGTTTTTCTTTTTGTTAGTCGCTACATTTATGCTGATCCTCTCCATTGCAACATGACATACCTGTTTATCAGGTTATTGAAGGATGATTTAAAAGAGTATACATATGCAGCACGCCTCTCAGGTTTGAGCTATGGCATTGCATCAGGAATGAATGCAATACTTGTAAGTAAGAAAAAAACGCAGGAGGAAATGAAACAGCTTGGGATTTGTTGAGCTTGGAGAAAACATTTGACTTCTGCATTTCTAAATGAGATGGTTAATGTTTTTTTCCTTGCATATATCTCATGAATTAAAGGCAAAGCAAAACTGTATTTTAATCAGTACTGAGTGACCAGTTTAAGATTGCAGTGTCTTGTGAACATGTGTGCAGTGCAATTGTTGCATTCGAGTTCACATATTTACTTGTTTGCATGGTAATCTTGAAAGTACTACTGCTGGTTTCTATATAAAAAGATTAATTTTTCTGTTGAATGAATCTCAACTTTACAGATTTTTTTGTAATTCTCTAATTCTGCTGTAGTGAGCTGTGGAAATGGATTGTGCATGTGTTCATTAGAATGCAGTGCTGGATATTTATGGCTTTTCCTTAGTGTTTGTTTTTGTTATGTGTTTTATAATCTGTTTTAAAGTGCTGACGGTACTTACTTGATAAATACTGATCTTCTGATAAATGGTTATTTCTTACTTAGCTTCTCCTACAAGATTTATGATAAGAGATTTTAATAGTCTCTCTTGAAGTTCTGTTAAAAGCTTTTCTTAACCATCCTTTTATACCAAAACGTGTCTTGAAATTTCCTGTAGAAGTATTATTTTCAAAAGCATCCTAGTAAGAGAATATGCTTTATATTGTCTTTACATTTTCTGTGTGAAAGTGTGCTGCAATTTCTTTTTTTTTTTTATCCAACGAAAATCTCATTTCCTGTTAGCATTCACTTAACTTACTGCAGACATGGTTATCTATTCTCAGTTTCAAGCTTGCTGATGTTTCCATGGTCAAGAGTTAATTCCTTTTAAAAAAAAAAAAAAAAAAGTGTGCATGTGTTTGTAATTTTTCTTCATTTTTAGTCACAGTTTAGATGTTTAGAGTTATTTTAAATATTTGCTGGATTTCGTAGGGTCTTTATATTATTCTACTGTAAAGGTTCTATTTTCACTTATTAAAATCAGTTTACTTCATTTTGATATCTGGAAACTTTAATATACTTTTCTATATTGTGAGAAGTTTGTAGTCAACAGGTGTAACTGTACAGCGTTGATACTTTAAGCAAGGACAGATGCTACATTGAAACCAGTTACCCATGGTGGTTGTTGAACAGTTTGGGTTCTTATGCTAATTTAGGGTATCAGCCTTTGTCATAAATCCATTTATGATAGCTGTTTCTTCAAATTCATGGTTCAGGTGTGTTTTGGCAACTGTGTAAGAAAAAATTCTTCCTACTGGAAAGCAGGAATTCACCTGTACGTTGGTTTGTGTCCTAAAATTTCGTTTTACCCTTAATGATTAAACTACACAAATCCAATTAAATTCCTATTTCGAGATACCAACGTTTGAAGGTTTTTCCTCCCAAAAGGCCTTCCAATGCCTTTTTTCACTAGACAAACTTTCTGTAGGTTGATGCAACCATTTAGTCATTTTAAGTTTCTATGTTGTTTTTTTAAATGACCCAAGTTTATTTCATGTATACTTCTGAAAAAATGTGTATGATCAGGTCAATATCTCATTACTATTGTGGGCTAACTACTTTGGTGTTTCAGCCCAGCACCACCATCCTCGTTATAAATTGCGCTGCTGGTGACAGTACCTCTTTTCTTGTAGTACTTCTTACTTCTGCTTACATAAAATATTTTTTTTGAGCAACAAGATAAAAAAGAAACAAGGTTAAAAGTAAATTGGAGAGAATATTTAAGAAGGCTGTGAATCTGGATTTTATTACTAAAATAAGAAACCTAGAGTAAAACCATTTCAGTACTCCAAATGTACAGTTTAGTGACTGGACTCGATACTTACAATCATTAGAAATCTGTATTCTGTGTACAGTTTGCTTCCATCAACATGAAATTACATTAATTCTCTGCATTCATAACTCCTGGACAAACACGCAGTATTATATTTACCAGTAAGTTATCTTTTGATGGATGAAGAAATTTTATTTCAGAATGAGTTCATGTTGAATAATGTTGAATTTAGAGTAAGTGTTGAAAAGTGTATTGTTCATTGATTCATACAGGACTTGGTAATTGGTTTATTCTTCTATCTTCCACATTTAAAGCAAATTATGCACTTTTTCCATAGCTTTCTGTAAAAGGTTATAATGACAAGCAACATATCTTGCTCAAGAAGATCATTGAGAAAATGGCTACTTTTGAGATTGATGAAAAACGATTTGAAATTATCAAGGAAGCGGTAAGCTACATGAGAAATTTACGTTTTGGGGTAATTTAAAATCAAATGCTTTGACTTGAAATGAAATCTGTGAAATTCTGCCTCATTGGGAATGCACAAGCTTTTTTCTTCTGTCTTTTTTGTAGCCATGAGTTCCCTGGAGTGTTTGTATTCTATTTTTCGGTTAAAAAAACCAGCCCTGGAGTCTTCTTTCAGTCGGTCTTTCTTAAGATTGATCAAGGGATTGCAACTTTGTTTGATAGGAGAGGAAATCTAAGAATGGGGACAGGGTGGGAAACCTTAACTTTATATACTGTTTCACAATTTGGAAAGGCCTCACTGGGATCTAGCCATAAAAAGAGGGGGAAAATGAATGAAGGGGTAAAGGAAGTGCTGAAAAGATTTGCAACACTGCTTCTCCCCAGATGTGAAGAGGAGCTCTGCTCCAGGGCCAAGATCCTTTGGTGCAAAAATAACCAGCTGGTTAAGTACATGCTGATTTCTGGAAGTCTTAGGTCCTAAATTTAATGACTGATCTATATATATGGAATGTCAGTTAGGTATTTGGGGGATTTTTTAGCTCCTGAAGAAAATTTATGAACAGTGATTACATTTGCTAAGCCAAACAAGATACATAATTGTTCTTCTGGCGCTTTCTTTAGGGCAAGAGAGAGGTAAAACAAAGGAAATGAACAAATTGGGTATTGGCACTCATAGCAATGAGTTGTTGTGGGGGTATAAATGAGTATACAAGGATTAGACTGGTGGTGGGGAACAGACTGGCTTCTGGCTCAGAAAGCTTGCAAATAGTCTGCGGTAGTTGAAAGTGCTAGGGCTGCAGGGAAGAGCTCTCCATGCTTGCTATGGACACTTTAATCCTCTGCTGCTGGTCACTGGCCTAGACAGACACCAGGGCCATCTTTAGTTCATTACTATTTAATAGGAATTTCTATGCAGGTGAGCATCAAACATGAGGTAGATTTATTATAACAGCACTTTATTTTAGGGCTCTGTGTACTTAAGATGCATTAATTGTGTGGAAATTTTTAACTGGATGTGACAAATGTCAAGGTAAAAAAAACCCAACCCACAGGTCTGTGAATGATCTGTTTGGGGTGATTTTTCCTGGGTGATTTTCTTTTAGTTTAAGATGTCTCCGTGATTGTCTTTACAGATTGCTTGAACTCTGTCTATGTATTATGCGTGTTTTGTCATTTTATAGGCTTTTGTTACATAGGCCTTTTGTGCATGTAAAATAAGGACAAAATACAAAAAAGTCAAATCAGATGGGGAGGTTGCAGTTTTTCCCCTCATGTCTACACCTAACAGATTAGGGATATACCAGCTTCTGGCTTCTGTTTGGAACAGGTAGAAGGATGCATCCTCAGTAACTTCATGCTCGCTGTTTCTCGCCCATGTGCCCTAAAATGAGTTACTTTTCTCCTGTACTGGAAATGATCCCAGCGTGCCAAAATCATTAGTTTGTACTTTCCAGTTCCTCTGGTAGAGGGAAAAAAAGATTTTGCTTACTTTGTAAAGGTGCAGTTGGACTAGAAAGGAGTTTCTCTGGAGAAGCTCACGGATTCTTCTCTCATACCTCCTTTGTCCAGGCAAAGAATGCAAAGAATTTCCCAGATGCCTCTGTACTTTTCTAACCATGTCAGCCCAGGGAAGCAACTCGGAGAAAAATGCATTTTCTAATAGCAATATTCCCCCATTCCACCCCCTGACAGTCATCATAGAATGTGTATTTCCTGGGTAGAGCAACTTGATGTAAATATTTATTTAGGTCTGCAATAATTTCATTTCCAGTCATTAATTTAATGGAGAAGTTTGATTTAATGCACATTTCAACTATCCTAAATGGTTACTGCTTAATCCATAGGCTCAGAAGCCCACATTATTACTAAGGTAATACAACACAATTTTTTAACAGGTCTAACAAGCAAGAGAATGTTCTTGACATTTGAAATGTATCTTTTCGATGGTTCAGCAAGTTGAGAGTACAAGGTTAATATTTTATGTTTAGAAACAGAGTTCTATCATTTGAACTTAATTTGTTTTAGTACATGAGATCACTGAACAACTTCAGGGCTGAACAGCCTCACCAGCATGCAATGTATTATCTCCGACTCCTGATGACAGAAGTTGCTTGGACCAAAGATGAATTAAAAGAAGCTCTAGACGGTAATGTTCTGCCAGTTTTAAACTTTTTTATTTTTACTTACGGAAAATGTCTTGTTACTAAACTAATGAACTATTTTGAACTCTGCCATTGTTCAAGTGTGAAGCCCGTGCGGTGCCAGACCTGAGCTGATGCTGGTGGATGTCAGTGCCTCTTGCTTGTCCTCCAGTTTCTAGAAAGTATGGTAGTTCAGACAAAAGGCCTCAGATAGCAAAAACTTGTGGGTAAAAGTTCAGGCAAAACTTGAATGGCTTTGTGGACATGAGCCTGGGTGTGGTGAATCTAATGCTTAACCAACACTGCTAAAGTAATTTGGCTCTTGTTGACATCTTGCAGACGCATTGCAGTGTATCTGCATTGTACTTCCCAATGTGCATACTGTTTTGGTTTTTCCATTATCAGGGAATCCCAGCTTCTGTTTCTGTAGATAATAAAGAACTGTAGATAATAAAGAAAAAAGATGTGATTTCTGTAGATAATAATGATAGTAAAGAATAAAGAAGGTTGTGGTTCCTAACAAAGAGTAAGTGCCCCACTATATTTGGAGGAAGAAGAAATTTCACATTAAGAGATTTAATTGATTTTAGTAATAACTGAAGAACTCTTCCCTATCTGTATCTTAACTGTGTTACAACAAAAGGCTGTTACTGGGACAGTTTGCAAAATATCTTTTAATATCTTCTTGGAATACACCAAGCCATTCTTTCAGGAAGAATATCTGGCTTTTGTATTTGAGGGGGTGGATTCAGAATACGTATCCGTAGTTGTCAAAGATTGACACATACCATACTGTTTGAAGTTGTGATGCTGAAAACTGCTTCATTAAGATAGACTCTATACATGCCCTGAGCCGGCTGCACAGGAGAGTGAGGTTTTTCTACAGCATTGCTCCAGGATAGAAATACAAATGTTTAGTTGTATAGTTTCTTGAATGATTGCAGATATCTCTGAGATTAGCAATGGTGCCAGTGCTGCCTGTGAAGTCAATGACAAAACTAATGCTGATTTTCATGGCAGTGGGTTCAGCTATACGTAGGTCATTCCGTTTTTAATGACTACTGAATTTTGAAAAAATAAGACATTTTCTGTTCTGTGTGTAAGTTGTCTTTATAAGATTAACGCTACTGTATTCAGCATAAGAGTGGCTAAAAATGGAATGCTGGAAAGGAAAGCTGTCTAGTTAGCACTGCTTGAAATCTGCCTGAAATACAGGCAGTTTGTGTGATTATTTTTTTTTCTTTCCCCTCTCACACTCAATGTGACTATGACCTTTTGCACTACTAATAAGCAATTCTAGAGGCAAAACTTAAGATTAGGACTATACAACAATAAAAAGTTGGTTTGGAATCGGGGAAAAATGTGGAAATGAATTTTTTACTGGTGGTCTCTTAAGAGAGGGAAAGACTGATAAGCACAGTATAGGTTTTACTAATACAAATCATAAGCCTGTTAGATATGTATGCATTCACCACTGAATAACTGAGTGACCTCATAATCTTGATTGCGTGTGTCTTTTCAAAGCTTTTGTGAAATACACCAGTATTGTTAGTTTTATTTTTGTTGAGAAAATGACAAAATGAGAAATAATAGATTTGGTGATATACCGTGGGTGTTCTTGTAGTGTCAGGGAATTAAGAATGGAGATGTTGACTTCGGCATGAACACCCCATCCATTCAACTGTCCTTCCTCTCTTATTCCATTGATTCTATATGTTCAAACTGTACTTTGCATTACATATGAAAATTGCTTTGCAAAGACAGGCTAGCATAGAATGCGTGTGTATGTGTACTCTGGGATATATTGCAAAAATATTTTTCTTGTGTATTGTTTGCTATAAAGATACTATCAAAACACCATATTTGAATTGAGGTTCTTTTTTTAGTCTAGATGGTAAACGCACAGTGTGTTTCTTGAGCGTTATAAACTACATGCTGCTTGTTTAGTTAATAACTAAGGCTTTATCTTGGAACACCACCTGAATGATTGCAACTGTTTTCTCTGGAGAATGAATGTTTGTTCAGCATGATTGGAAAGAAGGCTTTTTTTTTTCTTTTCTTCTTGGAATCTGGGTCAGACAGTATGTGAATTTTAAGTGAAACAAACTATATGATGAGTGCTGCTATTTAGACCTGGAAACTTTCCAGTATTGCATTTTTAAGGAGAGAGTCACTTTTTCATGATGATGAGTTTCTCCTCCTCTAAGAAATGTACCATATCTAATGATGAGTTAGGCTGTACTTAATGTAAAAGTGCATTTAATTGATTTAACTGTCTAAATATCTATTCTAGATGTTACTCTTCCCCGCCTCAAGGCCTTTATAGCTCAACTGTTGTCACGGTTACACATCGAAGCTCTTCTCCATGGCAATATAACAAAACAGGTTGGTGTGATACTTTCTGTAATAAACCATTTTATATTTAAAAGCAGCATAAAAAATGGAAGACTAGTTTAATCCTTTCAGATCTTAAAGCAGTTTTGCCAAATGTGATTTCTTAATTTGACTTCATACTTCTTTATCTTTATGGGAGTATTGTAGTGTCATTTTTTCCACTTGAGATTTATTGGGATAAGAGCTGCCCTTGTCTTGCTTTTGGAAATTTAATAAAAAACTTATGAGCTAAATACTCTAAAGTCTATGTTGCATGTCATTACTGTGATGTGATCAAGCTGCATAAGGAACGATGTGCTGCAGATCCTGCTTTTCCATTTAAAAGTTTCAGGCTACCTAGCAAAGATTTAAGAATCCAAGATCCTTCCAAATGCAGTACTTCTGCACAAAGCTAAACAGGGATGGCGGGCTATAAAAAATAAGTGTCCGCTCTCAGTTGTGTCTTTTTGGGAGTAAAAATCGGAAAATGTTTGTTCTGTCTTCCATTAAAATAGTAATGGTTTGTATTTGCATAGGAAATCACCACATATTTGAATATATGTACCAATACAAAATGTAGTACCTTTCTTACACATTTTTGCTTTTTTTTTTTTGTAGGGCTGGTATAGCAGTGTTTCTGTGTTAAACCAGCTCTGTGATACTTCACTAGCAGGAGATGTTATAAACACTGTTAAAGACTGCTGAATGTATGGAGAAGAAAGTTCACTAGTAGGGAGGGGAAAAAATAAAAAGATGAAGGAGCCAATAGCCCTGGATGCACAAAGTTTTCTTTTTCAAGGATGGCTCTAAAATTTTTTTTTTATTTTATACAGTATTTTTTGTGTGGAGAAATGTAAAAAATAGTCTCACTATTTTTCTTCCTTATTTCTTACACATTTGTATGTGAAAGTCAGATCCTTCTGAAATGTAACTGAATGACCAGAATTTTTAGATTTCCATAATGATGCAGTCATAGCAGAGAAATGTATTCTTTAGTCCTACAGCTAGAGAACTGGGAGGGATTCACTGTTATGCCCATAGCTCTGTAATGTTTAGAAATGATGGGCAAACCTCCCTGAAAGATGCGGGTGGGAAAACCCTGTCCTTCAGTGCTCGTGATGTGGTCATCACCGACGAAGCTCAGAAATTTTAACCTGGATCTAAGAATTTTTTCCAACTAAGATGAATCAAACCTTTTGTTACTGAAAAAATTTTTAGTGAATCTGTACTTTTTGAAAAATAGGCCCACCTAAGCTGCTTTAAATTGTTATTTCTTCTTGAATTAATTTCCATTCTGATATTTGCTCTTTAACTGTTCCTCTTATTTATTTGCTGCAAGTGGATGAATAGTAAACTAATCCTGCTCAGAACATCTGTCTGAAGAGTCTTGTTGTAAATATTTTGTTTTAATATGGTAACTTGATTGGAAGAATATCTAGTATTCTTCTCTAACCTTTCAAACTGTGTTTTGTTAGACCTCAAATTTTTTTGTCTTTGATATTTGCACATTTTTGGTAAGATCACTTATGTTGTGAGTTTGTGGCAGTGCAGGCTAAGAGGTTTTGGCTTTCAGCGGAAACTACTTTATAGCGAGTTTCTGTAATTTCCAGTACGCAGGCTACAAGAATGCATAACCTTTAACTGGTAACGTTTTTGAAGTTAAATCCTTGAATGAAACTAAGGATTTTTTAAATATTTTCACTACTTATGATTTTTTTAATTACTATTTTAATCCATCAAATGAAAGAAAGTATCTGGGCAGTGAGTCCTAATACTACCAGCATGTTAATAGAACATATACTTGAACTTAACCATTAATCTGTTCTCTTAAAATTCCATCTGATGAGGTGTCATTTGCTTTGCAAATATATAAGTATCTCATTTTCAAACTTTGAGAGATGAGTATGTCAGTGGTGAAGGAAAAGGAAAAAGCACATTGAACTTTAATTTCAACAGCATTGGGGAGGAGTAGAAGTAGTTAAACATGTAAATAAGGTAAATGTAAAAGAACCCCACAAAACTGTCATCCCCCAAATCCCCGCTTCTACTTAACTTCAACTATATTTTTATTAAATTACAGTATCTCTACTTTCTATTCTTGATTTTTTTCCCCTTTTTTCTTTTCTCTCATGTCACCATCAATAACTGAAAATTCTTACCCTGCTCTTAGATACAGAATAACTAATGATTGCTAAAAATCCTCTTATTTTTCTCTTCCAGGCTGCATTAGGAATTATGCAGATGGTTGAAGACACTCTCATTGAGCATGCTCATACAAAGCCACTCCTTCCCAGTCAGCTAGTGAGATACAGAGAAGTGCAACTTCCTGACAGTAAGTTAAATTATTTATTTACAATTTTTAAATGCACATTAGAGTGAGATCCTGTTTGCTAATGGCATTTTAAAATGAGTATTACTCTGTTGCTAGGAATTTGTTTAAAAATCAGACTTACTTCAAATTATTTTAAACTTTACATTTAAGAATATAATTAGGGTGTGATTTTGTTAATAAAATCATACACTAATATATCATCTTTCTGGTATACTTGAAAATTAATTTTATTTCATTTTTAATTTGTGTATATAAATTGGATTTCTTGGGGGTTAGATCTAGATGGTCTTTAAGGTTCCAAATCAAACCATTCTATGAGTCTGTTATTCTATGATTCAGTCCTAATTCGCTCAGTATGATTATGGAAATAAGAGCCCTGTCCCACTCTCTGCTGCACATAATATACACATTTGAATAAGCACCATTCTTAGAGCACTTTTGATTATCAATTGACCATTCAGTGAAGGATTGTCCTAAAGAACTCTTGCTTTTGAGAAAAGTAAAAGCTCTTACACAAGTAACTTTGGTTTTTTTCTAATATAAATTCTTTTGGTCTCATAGTGTTGTATATGATTTTACTTCTGTTGTGCAAAAAAAATCTTTTATATATAAGAAAGGAGGTTCAAGGAATTGCTAGGAGTTACGCAGGAATGATGACATATGTAGCTGTACAGCCAAAGCCAATTACCCATAGCTGATCATCAGCCTGTGGAAACTGCGATATACCAAAGAAGCTATTGGTATTAAACGCTGAATTATTTTTAATGTTCATAAATGTTTCTGACAAACTGTCTTTAGAAACGATTTACACAGTAGAGGCAATGCAGAATTCCACTCCAGTTCCAAAAATATTTGCTTGAGGAGAAGCAGCCAGTTTCAATTTACTTGCTGATATGCTCAAGCTATGACATTTCGATGTGTTAAAATAATCTTTTCTTTACTTGTTTCGTAAAAAGTATGCTGTTAGTGGAAATTCTGCTTTAACAGTCCTAAACCATTTAGTATAATCCCATTCCAGAAGTGATAGACCACTGTCTTTTTAATTGTGGAAAATAAGAATGTACATTTTTATGAACTTACATGTTTTAACTTGTCTTTTAGGAGGTTGGTTTGTATATCAACAGAGAAATGAAGTTCATAACAATTGTGGCATTGAAATATATTACCAGACAGACATGCAGAGCACTTCTGAGAATATGTTTTTGGAGCTCTTTTGTCAAATTATCTCAGAACCATGCTTCAATACTCTGCGCACCAAGGAACAATTAGGTAAGCTTTCCCATAGTGATTATGTGTCTGTATACACACATGCACGCACACTCACGCACTTAAATGAGACATGGTGAGGTGTTCTTTCCCTGTTTAGTGAATGTCATTTAAAGGGCACTTGGTAAATGTAAATCATCTTAACTACTGATGACTCAAAGGAATGTTACTGTGCACATACTCTAAATTGAGAAGAAGCAAGCATAATTTTTAAGATAAGGCTGAAATGTCTGAAACCAACTCTGGCTTAAAAAAGTTTGATCACTACAGAAAATGTCATATCTCAAATTTTTACCAAAAGGAGATGAGATCAGTTTCCTAAATTTTAGATCTTCTTAAAGAAGCAGTAGTAGTATTTTGGTCTTTTCTGCTTATGATGCTACTTCCAGGTGCACTTGATGGTTCACAAGCCTTAGCTTAGGAATACTGCCATATGGGTCGTGGTAAGCTGCAATGCTAAATACATTTCAGGCTTTTTAAGAATACAGCTGCTCACCAGTAAGTAGTAATAATTGTTACCTGAACCAGTAAGACTAAGAACTGATAAGGTTATTCCAAACAGGATAACAAGGAGAGCCAGAGACTTTGCGTGACAGGTTGCATGACTGAAATACTGATGAGGAGGAGTACAGTTTTTCCAAAAGTGAGAGGCAGGGGAATGTCTCTGTGTGATGACTATAAACTACCAGGGAGATCAGGCAAGATTAGACTTTCTATGAGCAACTAGCAGAATCAGCCATACCATATTGATCATACGGATTTGAACTATCTAGGTATCTGTTGAAAACAGGGCAGGAACCAGGTTATTTAGCAAGTTTTTGGAATCTGCTGGTGGCAGGCTTCGTATAGAAGTTGGAGGTAACAGTTTAAGAGTTGTGGGGAAACCAGTGAGGAAGAACTGTGTGAGTGTGTGCAGCGCTGCAGAACTGCCGAATTGTAGAGTTCACAAGAGTTAGGAGGGAAGACGGTAGAAATACCAGCAAAATTCAGTAAAGTTCATGGAATTGTTAATAAGATCTCTGAGAAAGCTAAGGGAAAAATAAGTCCAGGAGTTAGCAGTAGTAACAAGAACTCATTCAATAAATACTTTAGCAGTACAAGAAAGAGGAAGAGAAAAGTTGTCAGTGGTGGAAAAAGAAGGTCTAAATGTTTTAGCATGGCTTTGTTAGTTTTCACTTAAAATGTCAACTGTGACCAGATGATTTCCAAAATAAATACCAAGGATCAAAGTCCAAGGCTTACTTTTGAACAGGCAAGTAACAGATTAAAGGTTGTTCAGGTAAATTAGAAGCTTTTAAAGAGTTCAGGCATGATGAACTCTATGTTACGTTAAAAAAAAAATAAAACTAATCCTGGAATTATAAATCTTATAGATGAGAATTTGTGGGTGATAGATGAGGTACTAGAAAGATAAACATGGGTAAATGCTGTATGTTTCCTTAAAAAAGAGCAGGGAAATTACAGATCAGTCAGTTTACTTCTGATTCCTGGAAAATACAGAATAAGTTATCAAACGAGTTCTAAATTCATAGAGGATAACTGAGAGACTATTACTGAACAAACTCAGGTCCAACTAACTTTTTTTATAGAAACAGAGTTTGGCTGCATGGATGATGGTGATGTCATATGTCTCTTCTTGGTAGTATGAAAGGCACGTAACATTCTCAGACAGGCTAGAGAGAGCACCTAGGTGGAAGTGCTACACGTCTGGATGCAAGAATGTTTGGAAAGCCGTGACTGGAGAAGATGAGAATAATTCATTAGAAAAATGGTGTTCTACAAAGCTCTATTATGATCCAATGCTATTTAGTATTTTCATCAAAATTCTGGATGATAGAAGAGTGAATATACTTACTAAATCTTCAGATAATACTGGGCTGGGAGAGGCTGCAAGTGTGTGGGAAGATAGAATTAGAATTCAAAATTAGTCTGACATTTTGGAAACGTGACTTGAATGAAGATAAGATGCAATTTGGTAGGAATGGTTTGGCAGGAATAACCAATGGCACAGATACAAGCTAGGAAGCAACTGGCTAGGGAGCAGTTATGTAGAAAGCAATCTACAGGTTACAGTGGATCAGAACATAAATCAGCAGTGTCATGCTGCTGTGTAAAACACTGGGATATATAAACGGGAGCTTCCAGTGTGCACACACAATAATACTCCTGTATTGTTCATGCAGGGACTTTGAAATACTGCATCCAGTTTTGACATGAGCTTCAAAGAACTATTAGAGAACTATAAAACAACATTTAAAAGACTGAAATGTGACAGATTTGCTATTAAAAGAGGGGAAGAAGACTGCAAAAAGGCTTGGATGTTCAGATAAGCAAAAGGTGCAACAGAAAGGAAGGGAATATTTTCTCTATCTAATTGATAAGACAAGAAATAGTGGTCTTACACTGCAGCAAGGAGAATTCAGATTACATATTATGAAAAAATAATAATAAATTCCTAGAGTTGAGTCTAATGAAGCACTAGAGTACAGCTTAATTTCCGGTTACCTAATCCTGATGACAGAATTCCTTTTGTTCTGTCTTGGTCTGCCTCATCTCTTCCTCGCCTCTCCCCTGAACTGATGTTTACCTCAGTGAAATAAAGATGTTTTAAAAAAATACAGTGGCATATTTTGAAAACCTGCATTATTTCATTTATAATGCAGAATTAAACTTAGGATAAAATCTCATTCCTGTGAATCATGCTGTGTTTGGCAAACTTAATGTTGGAACATGGGATTTCTTTTAATTTGTGACTATTCTTGTTTTGCCAAGGTTACATTGTGTTCAGTGGTCCACGTCGGGCAAATGGCATACAAGGACTGCGATTTATTATCCAATCTGAAAAGCCACCACACTATTTAGAAAGCAGAGTTGAAGCGTTTTTAAAAACTATGGAGAAATGCATAGAAGACATGACAGAAGAGGCCTTCCAAAAACACATCCAAGCTTTAGCAATTCGTCGTCTAGACAAACCAAAGAAGCTGTCTGCAGAATGTGCTAAGTACTGGGGAGAAATCATTTCCCAGCAATACAACTTCGACAGAGGTAAGACAAATCATAATTCCTCATTTGCGGAGCCTGTGCTCTCGCTGCTGGGGGAGCTGTTAGTCATAGCAGATGAACGTGTTCCTTGATATTCACCATATGATGGGGGCTGGTGAATACTTCATTGACCTTCCATTCTTTCTCTTAAAGCTCAGTGAGACATAGTGTAGGTCAAGGATTGGAAGTGGTTTGAATGCAAATGGTGATGTCACATAAGCTCAAATTTCTTTCTGTGATGTTCAGACATCTGTATTACATATGTGCCTAATACTTGACTGAGATGCATTCAAATACACTTTGACAATTCCTGATGGTGCACGCATTCATATGAACCCTATTCCTCTTCCCATTGCACAGTTCTATTGAGGGAGCGATGGCAGAGGCAACAGCAGGTATCTTAACTAATGTGTGTCCTGTCTCGGCTTAGGTTAGGCTTGAAGAAACTTTTTTTTGTTGTTTTTTCATCCATACTTTGAAGATTATAAGCTTGTAGAAAACCAATTGAGATCCAACTTCTAGTGTTATTACTGAAAATAGATTGGCAGTTATTTACATAGTGATCCTACATAGTATTTAGGTTGTATTTTTCCCTTTTTCATCATTGTTAGAAGATTTTTTTAATCCAAAATACCGAAGTCTATCAGTAATATAGTTTCTGACATTTTAAAAAAAAAAGTTTTAGGTACAGATCGGGTTTTCCTCACTTTTTCATGTCTCAACTCTTATTCACAGCTACAATTTTCCATCTTCCACGCATAATACGCTTCCTACATAAAACTCACTCTGTGACTTCTCTTCTGCTTTACACGCACAGTATTGGCCTTCCGCAATAGCAAATATGGTCTTTTTCGTCAACAGTGACTAACTGAATCATTTTAATAATGAAGAATTTTGAATTCTCATCTACCTTGGTCTCGAGAGAATGAGAGCTACTGACAAGGTTTCATGCCTGAGTATAAGGAGTAGTGTGAAAACTTATCCCCTCAAGTACTTTTTTGTCTCATGAAACAGTTTAATTTTTCTCTGCCTTAAGTGTTTCTGATTTTACCATACTTGGATCTGTATTCTCTCTCTGGAATTTCTTACTGCTAGCTGTAGCCGTATCTTTCATATCTAAATCCCACTCAACTTATTATTTCCCTTGGCTTTGATATCTTTAATTCCCCTCTACACACTAGTAATTTTATTTCATTAATGATTCTAATATTACTAGAATTGTCAAAATCAGAAATTCATATTCCAGCCCTAAGAAGTGAAAGTGATTTTTCTTCGAGTTTTTACATTTTTAGTCTTACTACTTTTAATGTTTTACTTAATTTAAAAACTTTCTCCCAAATGTCATCTAATTTTTAAACTCTGTTTTGTTGATTTGTTTTTTTTTTTATTTCCTCCATGTAGAACTTCATATTAATTACTTACAGCCTGCCTCACAGACTTGTTACTGCATATTTGTTCTCTTGCACGCATTTTTTTCTCTATCTTCCCGCTAACCCTAAGAAAAGCCTACAGCAAAAAACATTCCTGCTTATGCAGCAATGGTACTACATGGTTAGTTCATTACAATTTAATTTATATGAAGTGATGTAGGTACTGAGGCACATTGTCCTCAGATATCTTAAAGGTGATAATTCCTTAATAGGTACAATGTAGGCACCATTCCTTACATTTATTTAAAAGCACATCCTGCCAAATTACATCCTACCATCCTGTTTCCTAACTGTGCATAAAAGCCATCTATAATCAGTCTGCATTAGAAGTATGTAACATTGATTTGAAGACAATATACAGAAGTAGGCATATCTTTTTTAGCTACTGAATAACATACAGTGCAATCAGTATTCTTCAAACATGCAATTTTAGTAAGTCCAATCAAATGGACTTACTGAAGTATAATTTTCTGCCAAGCTTCCAATGACACTTTTAGTGATGCAAGTATTAGCTTGAAAAGTTAAGAATGAAAACATATCATTTGCAGTCAATTACAGCATCTGAATTTGAAAGAAAAATACTTTTGAATAAGTAGCGTGCTAATAACCAGCTATGATTTACAGACTTATTCTAATTTTTACTACTGTTGTGCAGATAACATTGAAGTGGCTTATCTAAAGACCCTGACCAAGGATGATATTATACAGTTCTACAAGGTAAGTTAGTTATGTAGTTAAAATGTTACTTGGAAAGAGATGTAGATGTAACTCTGTTATTTATGTGAACTATGAAAGCATATGCTAATGCCTGGTTTAGGTAGATGATATGATTGATGCAGATATCTTAATAATAATTTTGTTGCTGAATCTTACTTAGTTTAATGGCAACTAGCATACTGTAAAAACTGGGGAGAAGGATTGGGTTTTGTTGCTATTACCAGCTCTTATTCTCCTCTTGTCTCACTTATTCTTTTTTTTTTAATAAAAAAATGTGCTGTTCTATGACTCCGTGACCAAATTGCAAATTTGTTCATTTACTTTTTCTTCAACCAGTAAATCATTCAGTTTATTTTGTGTGCATGAATTGTGAATGAAACAGATATTTTTAAAGCTTTGTTCACTGTAAAACAACACTTTTTTTTCTTCTTCCTCTCATAGTTAGGCAGAACAAAGGAACAGTGTACTGATGCAGTTAATTGTACATTGCAATTCTGAATGAAGTTGCTAGATAGATATCTAATATAAGCAATTGAAATACTAGCTTGGTCCCCCCTGAAAAAATAAATTGGGCCTCATTCTTTCTGTTTTCTAACAAATTTCATAGGCAATGATAATTCACTATATTGCAAAGTGTACATATTATTTTATTACTTACAGAGCAGCTGATAGGTCAGGGAATACTTTGAAAAATAATGTAGATGTATCTTTGGAACTTACTGTTGGATGGAAAAATTTCTGCCCATGAAGAAGCATGGGCATGTGTGTATCTATATGTTCTTTTTTTCTCTGTTGGAGGGGAAGCTAATGTCTTTCAAAGTGCTTTCTCTTGTACTCTGTTTTACCCTTTTTGCTATCCAAGGTCATTTTTACATTAGCATCTATTTTTATGAGATTTAATCTTAATGCTTAAATCTGGTTATTATTTACATGGCACAGTGAACACTAACATCTTTGGTTTGGGGTTTTTCTTAATAGTATGATAGCATGGGTGAAGATATACAGCAAATGCAAACTTAGTAAATGGAATCGCAGCAGCTGTTGTTTAATGAATGATAACTTGAGCAAGTATCTGTATTCTATTTTTGTAGGAATCTGTACTATTTTGCTTACACTAATGCTCAATACATGATTATCCAGTATTCTAGAGCAGAAATAACTGGCTAGATTGGTGAGCTAGTCCAGCTGAGCTTAGTAATTGTGTTTGGGGTGATGTGCTTCGAGAAGGCTGCTAGGGATTGAAAGTTCTGCAGGGATTTTAGGTTCCATTCCTGATGCTATGATAATTAACGGCTGAATTCCTATTACTTCCAGTTTTTCTGAGTCCCAAACAGTACATGAATTCTTTAACTTGCTTGTAAAATGATTCAAAGTACTGTAGGGTTGACCTTCTGATGATATTTGAAGGGACATCCCAAAATTAATGCCTCATTTTAAAGCTTAGATTAAAATTTAAATGCTCTTGTTCTTTTACTGTTTTATAAATACAATGTCAGAGCAACACTTCCTACACCTGAAGGACTTGATGTTTTTTGCTGTAGGTGCTGTTGGCAATAGATGCTCCCAGACGACACAAGGTATCAGTACACGTCCTTGCAAGGGAAATGGATTCCTGTAAGTATTGTCCTGCGTATAGTATTTAATCAGCTGCTGTCATAGTTCAGCCATAGTTAAAGACAGCCATGTTATGTGATACGAATGCACTATAAGAAAAACTCAGCTCTGGAGGTTATGTACCTTTCAGAGGAAGAAGTATTTCTTCTTACAGGTTTTCTTCACATGGGTGCTTCAAATTTTTGGATTGACGTTTGTGGCCAAGTTGTTCAGCCGTTCTGAAGTATGTTGCTATTAAAACAATATATCTTAAAATAGCACTTCTTTTTTCAACATGGTATTTTAAAAAAACCATAAAACTCTGTAGTAGTCCTACAGGGAGACAAAATTGGGATTTGCATTTATCAGTACAATGAAGCTTTTTTTTTTCCTGACAAGCAATGAATGGCCACAATTTTATTGAAGAGCTCTCAAAGGGGAAAAAAAAGGCAAACAAACAAAAAACAACCTGCTGGGAATGTCAAACATTGTATTTAAACTTGAGGAAGTCAAAGTTTATTTAGGTTTTATTTTCAAATAATCTAGATTAGCTGTGCATTGTAAACTGTGTTGTTCCATTTTAGAATCCAGGAAGGAAAAGGTTAAAAGTGTTTCTGGTTAATATAAATAAACAGAGAGTAAAAATTTCTATGTTGTTTTGTGCGGATTTTTCACCAGTTTATACTGGACTTAAATTGCAACATGTAACTGGTTGCAAACTCAGGAATATTAAAGGCTTGCCTGCAGAACAGAAAGAAGCAGATAGCTGTGTGCATGTCGTGAAACTCCTTCCAGTCTCAGGATGAGTGATTTTTATGGTACCGTGGAAATCAGAACTCTGCAGCTAAGTAAGGAAGACTTGCTTCAAAGCATCTTTCCAGTTTTCGTGACTTAATTATTGATACATAGGAATAGCTCTAATACTTTTCCTATCTAGAGGAAACTTACATTGCCAGAATGGTTTCTTATTTGCTTTGAATGGTATCTTCCCAAGACAAGGGTGAGCATGGGAGACAACCTAACCAGTGGTTACTCTTACAGAGATTCTAGCAAGGTAATCTCTGGCCATACTCACCAGTCCTAAACTATTTAATCTGGCATGTGGCCTCTCTTCTGCCATGAAGGAGAAATTAGGATTTTAATGCATTTCCCACGAGTCCAAATGAGCATTCTTCCAAGTGCCCATCCTCTAGAGGGTAACACAAAGGAGGAAGGCTAAAGAGCTTCCCAGAGAGAACCCTTCCTCCTGGAGGCAAACACACCATTTTCTCTGAGAGTGAAAAAGAATTGGAAGCAGTAGAGTAGAGATCTGGGATTTTAGGAGTGGGAAGCACTTGAACTCCCCAAGTGACGGTTAGGGTTGAAATTTGAGTGTGGAGGTAGAAGGGAGGCTTAAAGAATTTAAAATGAGAAGTTCTTATGGACAAGTTCATTGGATGCAGGAAGAAGTTTTGGGGTAACTGGAGTAGGGCATGCATGGGGACAGGTAGGGAAGACTTGGGGTTGCTGTCCAGAATTTTGGTATATGGAATAACCCCCACGCGTACATAGGCACGTCCTTACTAAAAGATGTGCTGTTGTTGCATTGCTCTTGTTGCATCTACCACGGGCATTTACTACTGTTCTCATAGTTTATACTGGAAAACAGTTTTAAGTATTCATTGATCAGTAGATTAGCAATTTTTATTTCTACATTCTCTTTATGTGTAAGTAAAATGAATAAAAGCCACTGCCTCAGCACATGTTCTCAAGTCAAATCGTGGATTAAGCTCTTTGTATTTCTAAAGACAACCATGGAGTAAAAAAGCAAAATGTTCAGAAAATCTTATTTAGAGATACTTTAAAATTAATAACCTGTGCTTTATATAGATACCTGTCTTATAAGAGAAAATGGTTTATTATGTAAAAGATACTGATTAAATTATGGTCCTGAATTAATTTTGATGATGTTACATAGGCCCTGTTGTTGGAGAATTTCCATGCCAAAATGATGTGAACCTGGCACCAGCACCACCACTACCACAGGTAAAAAGAAACAACACACAAAAAAATCCAAGGCTATATTCTTAATATGGAAGTTTAATATCATTAAATATAAGTTTATAGGGAGAAACAAACTTCTTGAAATGCATGCTGTTGTGGGACTGACATTTCAGCTCTTTTCTACATGTATTGTCACCCTCAATAACAACAGGGATTTTTCCTTATGGGTTTTTTTTTTTCCAGCAGTCTGTCCTGTTACCTTTGTTCCTTCTATTCCATTGAAATGAAATCTAATAGTAGTAGTAAACTCGGCTGAGTATCTACACTGCGGAGTAGAATACAGGTTACTGTTGTCTGAAAATACTGATTTTTATATGATCAGATGTATCAAGTGTGAAGAGAAAGATGCGTATGCATCAACAAATTTATCATCTTTGTTTAAAAAAAAAAAAATGCAAAACCTAAAAGCTCAACCCCAAACCACCACCAACAAAACCAACTATCTGGATGTTATCTTAGAGCCTAAAATAGTAATGCACATTCCTGTCAGTGTGTAACCTGTGGAGGAAGCAATTTGACAAATTCCATTCATACAAGTGCTACAGATTTCACTGTGTGGTTAGATATGATAGGACTGGGTCCTTACTGGGCCTTAAATGAATTTTCTTGAAAAAGGATGGTAAGTTTGTCCTGATAGATAATTAACTTTTTGCAATGCAGTAGTAGATCTGTGTTCTTATTCAATCCTTATAGGTGAAATAATCACCATGTGTCAAAATTTCTGTATGAATTATATGTGGATATATTAGCCATTAAGACTGAAACATTAAAAAGTTTCTTTGTTATTGCAACTAAAAATAATAGCTCATTGAATTGCTATCATTTTTATGATCTTACCTCTCATATTTAAAGGATAGGTGGGATGTTCTGGAGTAGAATTAGTAAATGAAAAGACAAGCTCTGCATTTACTAAAGTTCCTGTTATTATTAGTAATGCGATTACTGCATTATAGCTATTGTTTTAAATTATCTGGAGTAAATATTAAACCATTTCTTTCATAAGAAATAGCACTGTTATTTCAGGGGACCCTGTAAGAATGAAATATGAATCACAAATATTGTAGAAAACAGCAAGAAAGATGCGTTTATATGTAGCTATAGCAAAAGTTAAAATGACAAGCGAGGAATTTCTCACTTCTCTGATTAAAGATATTGAGCAGACTTTTTCTTGCGTACCCTTCTTTGCAGCCAAATGTGATTGAAAATATGACAGAATTCAAGCGCAGTCTGCAACTCTTTCCACTGGTGAAACCACATATCAATTTCATGGCTGCAAAACTGTGAAGAACCCCACTGGATGAAGAAATGCAAATGATCAGCACTGGCATGGTTTCAGGGGACTTCATGATGAACAAAATTATTAAAGATCATTAGGATAAATGGTTCTGTCCGTTATGAAAGTCCCAAATTCCTTCTTGGTTCATTTGACATTAGCTGTGTGTTAGGGATAGAGAGTATATAAAAATCAGTTGTGGTCATGTGTCATTTATATTACAGACAACCTGTTGAAAACAATCAACTGAAACAATAATAATAAACTTGTAGATGCAGTATATTTTTAATATAGTAAATCCCTTCAAATTTTCATTTTGATAAAATAACCCTCCAGAGCAAACAAAATTGCTTGAAATATCCTTGTTACTCCTGAAAAACACCATATAGTATCCCAGTAATTACCTTATTGGGGGCTGGAGGGGGTGAGAAGAGTTTTTAGGATGGGGTCAACAATTTTTCTTAAAAGTAGAGACTTTCACATTTTTTTGAAGTGACGTGTTGAATGATACTTTTTTAATTGATCCTTAATGCAACCAACATATTTTCTATTTAAGTTTTATGAAGATCAGTGGGGGGAAAAAAAAGGAAACTTGACAACACAGTCGTGGGAGGATTGTCTTAATGAGAATAATTGAAGATAAGGGCATGATTTTAATCTTTCTATACAAATTTGGGGACATTTTATATTAAAACTAGTAAAATGCTGGAAACACTTTAATAGTGCATCTTATTTTTGTTATCAAGTGTTGTCCCAGTCTCTCGATACTGTCAACATCGTGTTCAGTTTTTCAGTGTTACTGTGAATCATTTCCATGTGGTATATAAAATACTTTATTTGGGTGTCATTTTTTTTTTCAGTTGCGCACATACCGATGGAGAACTCGGTCTGTTTTGCCTCATGTGTTATGTAGGTCTCAGTCCAGCAGAGTACTTACTACTGCACATAACTTCAAGCATCCGTTAGTTCTTGACTCGAGAACAGGTGAATGTCAAATACGGGCCCTGTAATGAATGAGATGCATCTTTGTTCTGATACTTCTCTGTGGGTCCTTCTCGTCCATGAGGATGGCATCTGGGACAGCGCAGTGCTGGGTTAGCAGAGCTGCTGTAGCACAGGGTCTGGTTCAGGTTACATCACAAAATGTTCGTTCCTACTTCTTTTAAGAGGGCTGCGCAAAACCCAGAAGGCTCAAGAATTATGCCGAAATACTATATGCCTATATATTCCATAATTTAGTGAAATGGTAAAACGATACATGGTGTCTAATCTTCACCAAATTTCCTGACTTCTGCGGAGTGGTCTAGTGCTTGGGACAGACCCCAGCTAGAAAAGGTAAGGGAGCATCTTGCTAAGTTCTCGCTAAAAGAACCTGAAACAAAGGCCCTGATGTGACATGCGTGTTGTCATACATCAGCATCCTGGTGTATTCAGTAGAGCTGTTCTTGTCATTGAATCAATGTTCTTTCTTACACTGGCTCTGAAGCCAAATTAAATGAATGCTTGACAGGGTAAGGGCCTTAAGTTGTGTTTATCTGAGAGTCTCTTCTAATTGAATAAATACAGTGTATTTAAAAGTTGTTTTAAAGGTTAACAGTACATGTTTCAACATCTTACAATAAATTTGATGATAGTTTGTGATGTAACCTGTTGCTAAGGAAGGCCACTAGCATTTTTTTGTAGCCTGAGGAGAAAAAAAATTAAATATAGTATAAGCAAAACCAGTAAAGGTGTCTTTGTTCACCGCATTTTTCATGAATCCTTCATATAAAATGGGCTTTTTACCCTCTTGCATTTCTCTTTTGTTTATACTTTTCCTTCAGTAAAAGTATTTGTATTATATATTATATATATTAAAAGTTTTGACAACATATTATAAAAATATATATTTTGGAATTTAGTATTTAAACATACCACTCTTACGGTGAATAAAATTAAATGACTTCTATGGTGTGTAAAAAAATAAATATATATATATTCATGGAAGTACTATCAGCTCTAATTTTAACGAATTCTATAAATAAATTGGAATGGCAGTGTATTTAACACAAGCTCATAAATCATGTTTTCCAGAGGAAAAAAAAAGGAGAATTTCAAAGTTCTGTGACTGGATGTGGAAACCCATGTAGTTTTCCAGCAACCCTCAATTGCTTTTAAGTGTTCTCCAGCATTTTACAGTTTCTGAGTTTGATTTGATAGTAAATTTTGATAAACTCAGGCAAACTAATGGGTTCATTTTAATGGATCCAAAGCTGCAGTGTCTACAAGCAATAAAAAACTACCTAGAATACACTGTAATTCAATTTTAGTGCTTGTTAATTAGTTTATGTAAGAAACCATAAATTATTATTACATAACTGTAATTTTTGCAAGTGCTATTTTAAGCAGTTGATGTGGAATTGGGTGCATGTGACACAGCCAGTATGACAGAGTGCTAGAGTTATTCTGTTTACAATAAAAAATCTGAATTTAATGTTTGGAGTTCTTAATTCGCTTCATTTTAACTTTTTGCATACTGATAACGTTACTTCTATCAGTCTGTGCATGTTTTTTATTATACATTAATTGTGATTTTTCTGCTATCTGGTTGCTTGGACTTGTTAGGCTGAGTAGCACTGCTGGAGGAGTGTTCCCAGCCCCTTCTAGGGAAGTTTCAAGGTACTTCCCCATGGGGTATCCCCCACCTTTTAGGTAGATCCTCCTCTGTTGCTCTCTGAGTGTATGAAAACTTAATAATATAAAGGTAGAAATAGTTGCACAAGACAGCATTTTAATTATCAAATCTGAAATTGTCCATTCAGAGCATCGCTGCAGCCAGACTGAATTGTGCCTAGAGCAGCTTTACCGTGTTGGTCTTGAGAAATTACTTTCCCTGGTCATTTTCTTTGTTTTATGCACACCAAAAGATCAGGTGTAGAAAGGTTAGCAGTGTGATTGTTAGAACCGTAAACAGTCTCAGTTCTGAATTCTGACAGTGGAAAGATAGAAGTCAGCAGGCACTTCTGCTGTTCTGAGGGAGCTCTTTGAAGCAATACCTGACGGTTAGCAATGTTAGCAGAAGCAGGTTTTGTCCTTGGTATTGGGAGGAGTGGTTGGTACTCTCAGCAGAGAAATAAAATGCCTGCAACCCACCTGGAAAATTGTTTGTCCCCAGCATCAGGACGCTCTTTCTCCATTCCCAGTCATTAGGGATTGGTGTAAATCTTGACTCATTGGCTTTATTGTCTTTTGCAAAAAATCAAGCTAACCAAATTTACTTCAGCTATTACTGTTAGCCATAAAATAAAATGCTTGAGCTTTTTCAGAATATCACTTAAGCACTTAGATCTGAACTGCCCTTACTGATAATGTGTTCCACGGTGTAATCAATGTGTGGAGAAAGCATTACACACCCTTTTAACTTCACTTACTATTTTCTAGCTCTTGTTTTTTAACACAAGGTCAGCAGAATTGTCACCTGCCTTGCCTCTACCATTGAACTGGTTTGTATGCTTTTGCTGTAGCTCCACTGTAAAGATCTTTATCTTCTATACCTTTCATCATATGTGTGTTCCATATTTTTTCAGTAGCTGACCATTGAACTGATACGGTCTTCTACAGTGACGCCTGGGTCCTTCCCTTGAGCTGATACCTAATTTGATATTCAAATCCAACTTTTTCAAGTCCGTTTTTAATATTGTTGCTGCATGCTGCATAATACAAGGCACCTCTATGCTATTTTAAAGGAAGATGAGATCAGAAAGTCGGGCGCATTTCTTACCTTTCATGTAATTTCAAAATAAGCCTGGCCTATATAGATTCTGCTGAAAGGCTTTTATTTGAAACATTTCAGAGTCTACTTACCATTCAAAGAATATACTCATAAGCTATAATATGAGCTGTTGGTGGAATATAACACTAATAGAATGTGAAATCTGAATTGCAATTCAAAGGAAGAAAGTGTGTGTAAAGCCAGCAGCCCAGCAGAATGGGAAATGTCACAATTAATCCAACTTATTTGAACTCCAGCATCTAAACAGAATTTAAGACTGAAAATATTTATGGCTTCTTGATATTCCTCAGCCACCCCAAGGCTGTTAACGAAAACCGCAGCATTAAAGGAGGTAGACACCACAGTGCTGAGCGTTTGCCACTGTCAACTGCTAGGACTTCCTCTTTAGTGATGCAGTGCAAAATTCTGAATTCAGTTTCTTCCCTGTTTGTGTGGTGGGTGAGGGAACGTATGCGACTCCGAGTAGACTTTGGGTTACTGTTGCACTGAGCGAGGAAGTGACCAGGCTTAGCCAGTGGGAAACTGTAGTGAGAGGCATCCAAGTTTAAATCCTGCATCTTTCTGAGGTTTCGCCACCACCTTACTGTGCGTTAGATGTGCTTCCTTCTGCTGCAGATTGCCATTATGGTTTTCACTGCCTGCTCGGCTCCCCTTCCAAGAAGGGGAGCAAGGAGTTGTGGTACTTTTCTAGTGACTGCAGAGATACGTAAGCTTGTCACTGGAGCGGCAGCTGGAACTTGGGACCCCCTTCCAGCCCTCCCCTCCACCCCGAGGTGGAGCTGGGTGTCCCATGGTACACGTGGGCTCATACATCCACGTACGCTGGTGGTGAATGCTCACTCTGCACGATGAGAGCAGGTTCAGC